TTATTATTGATCTAAAAGATAAGCAGGATTAAATATTATTTGTTTGGGGGTATGTGTAGAGAAAGGAAAAATACATTTATTAAACAGAAATTTAGATCAATCCTTTTAGATGGCCTAGCTGATTTATAAGTGACTTTGTTACATATATGAAACAATGAATATTGGAAAATATATAGAAAATTGTCTAAAATATTTACATGTAGATATCAAACTAAGTAACTAACACATTTTAACGTAAACAAAATGGAGGCCTAAGAGTGTGACAGGAATTTAACAGGCAACCAGATTTTCTAGAATAGTTGCCTAAGATCGTTTATGCAGCTGAGTGTTCATCTATATGGCAGAGATCTTGTAAGAATTAAGAGTAACTATAGGAGACATGCTCAATAGAGGGACTAGGAAATTAAGTACTGTCTATGGGCATTACTGCTATTACTAGTCACCACTACCATGTGTCAAGCACTGAATATACTGAGGAGAAAGCCGTTGTATTTTAAGTAGAGTGCATCTACAGACCTAACCGGTTTTGGGAAATAATGATTTTAAGAGTTTATTTAAGGGTATATTTTCCTAGTTAGAGTTTACATGCAATAAAATTAAATATTTTTAGAAATTTGGAGTAAATATTCACATAAATTAAAACCATAAGTAAATATATGTTAATGAGATCAAAGTTATTACTAAATGATATATATACAAGTGTTAAAGAAGCCAGGGAGAGTGGAGATATACAAAACTTCATGGAGTGGGAAGATCTGTGCTTAATGTTCAGAGAACTTTCTTTGGTGAAGGAGACCTCATGAAATATCAATGATCAGCAGATAAGAGGAATAACTAAAGTACAAAGGAGGTGATGAGGGGAGTGCTGAAGCTCCTGAGAGATTGCTATCCATAGAGTGTGAGACAAGAGTTCAGTGGGTTTTAAGTCCTGCATATTTATTTCCTCCTGATCTAAATAGGGAAGAATTTAAAGTTTCCACAGGAACTACAATAATGAAAATGAATTTTAAACAAAGTGAATTAGGCAGAAACACTTAGTTACTGTTGCAAAGTGTTGAAAATGGAAAAAAGTGACCAACCAGGATGATAATAATCAGTACGTAAGATAAAATCATGTTTCCAATTTGTTAACTAAGGGAATTGTGACTAGAAAGGAAGAAAAGTTACAACTTAGCCAAGATACTGAATAACCTTTCATCTTTCTATGTGAATCTGTTTACTTGATATTTGAAACTGGTAATTTTTAGGTAATGTGTGGGAGAATAAATGGATGTGTTCTTTTAAACAAATTCAATTGTAAACCAGGAAAATTTGCCTTTCATTTCTAATTTTGAATGTTTTTAGTATTTGTCCATTTCTATATTTAGCTGTGATTGCCTGTGTATATGTATTTGTGGTGTCTAATATTTTCACAAGGCTTAATGATTTTTAGAAAAATCATTAACATGCTTGTCAACATGATAAGTAAACTGATAACAATGGCAACTTCCACTGAAGGGATAAATCTTGCTCCAGGGAGACAGAAAGGAAATGTAAACTCACTTTTTTCCCACTTCTATGGTTGACTGTGTGCCTTAGAATTCTCTTGTGTTCAAGTAGAGAGCGGGGTTCAGTACCATCTTTTATATTCTTTTCTTATCCCCTTATCTCCATAAAAACACAAAAGTAAGTCATTCTACGTCAGAAGTAGGGGTGATTTTCCTTCTTTTCTGCTTCGACAGTTCATGATTTGATGAAACAGAGACAGGATGCATCTAGTTCAAAGGAAATATCATGTCCTAGCTTGTCATACATTTGATCCTCTGCTCTTGGTTGATATAAGCAAGGCAATGTGAATGTATTATTAAGGACATTCATGATATTGTGTGGATATATTATTGAAGACATTTTGAGAAATATGACTACACTACTGTTCTTCTCATGTGTTTTATTACTTTTATTTTTTCCATTTTTTATTTCTCTTTTTCTCCAATAGTTAATAGATATCAATAATGTTTAATATTTTATGATGAGAATTTAAGATACATATATATAAGGTAAATACAAAAATACAAGTTCCTATAGACATTTCTAAAATGATTATAAAAGTGATATATTTTCATATATATACTGAGAATAATTTAGAGAATGTTAACAATGAAGCATTCTATAAGAAACATATGTAAATCGGAATTGAATAATAGCATACTTCCAAGCTCACTGATATCTGTATTTCCATGTGTAATCTGTCAATACAGACAATTATGCTAATTTTATCAACTATACCGAATCCTTTCTTAATAGGTAACCCTACATACTTGCAACAAGCCTCAACTTAGTCTACAAATGTATTGATATCTGTTTTGGAAGAAATTTGAGTGTTTATTTATTAGTTTGGGATTTTTAGAAAGTATCAGAATTTTGTAGTAATTTTCTTCAACCTACTTCAAAGAGTGGTTAATTACACCTTATTTTTTCCATTAATGTATATAAATTCAAATTATGTTCTTAATAAATTTATTCATTCATTCATTCATTTTAATTTGGCATCTACTATGTATGATTTATAAAATACTAAACATAAATGAACATTTGGGAACTTTAGGACATTAAAATAGAATATATTATGTGCAATAGAAATAATAGAGGAAAAGAACAAGAGGCTTACTAATTACCTAAAATCAGCCCAAAATTGACAGAAATTAACTCACAGGCCAGGAAGCTCAAAAAACAAAAGAACAGTAAATGTGAAATGCACAGAGAGAGAGAGAGAGAAAGGACATTATATTTAAATTGGAGAAAAAACGACAAGTAGAAAACTGAAAGGAAGTTGGTTAGGGAGGTGCATCAAACCAAAAAAAAGCTAGTTTAGTACTGCAGCTGTCATCTCCCGAAATGGTGTGAAAAAGAAGGCAGGAAAGCAAAATTCAGAAAAGTTGAGACACAATATAAATCCTGCCAACTTAGAATTCAATAGCCACACTGTTCTCCTTAAAAATGAAAGAAAAATAATTCTGTCTTTAAACCAAAAATTCAGGGCATTCATTGACAACAGACCAACCACGAAGAAACATTAAAAAGTCTTCAGAGAGATTGAAAATGACAGAGAGCAGAATCTTGGGTCCACATTAAACCAGGAAGAATATCAAAGAAGGAAAAATAGGAAGTAAAATAACAAGTCATGATTTCTTTTATCAATTAGAGAGTTAGTTCTTTTGGATACAATAATAAGTGTATACTTGGGTGATTATAGAATATGGATATGTAAGTTACTGAGAGCAATAGCACAACAGTTAAAGGGAGGATATTAATCACTGTTAAAAGTTCCTGAATTTACATGTAAAATGCAGTGCTATTTAATGTATATTCAACAACATGCACTGTGAAACATAATTTAACCACCAAAAATGTAAAAATCAAACTATAGCTACATTAAATAAAATTCACAATTAAAACCAGACAAGTTAGAACTAAGTAGCAAACAAAACATGTACACATGCTTAGAAAACATTTAATAAATTAGGCAGAATAAGAAATTCATGATCAAAACAAACAACAAAATAATATAACAACATAGAATTTACATGGATATGTCTCTCTACTCCAATCTGAATACATCCTTATTAAGCTATTCTTAAAATTTTGGTAATTGGAAACATCACTTCCTTACCATGATAGTCATTTTGATAATCAGGACAGCTATTATGGCACTAATGTAATGTGAAGGTAGTTTTCACAGCACAAATATCATGGGCAAAGGGATACTTCTCATCCTCGAGAATGGTGAAACCTCTCCCCATGCTGCTTAGAACAGAGAGTAATTTAAAACTTGTGTTTATTTCTGAATTTCCCTTGTAATATTTATGTTTCACCTTGTATTTAAAAAATGCAGCACATTAAACTCTTTATAAAGGGAAATGACTGTACTAATTATACATAGGGATAAATCAAAATTGGCATAAAGCCATACTTTAAATATCTATGTTGGAAATTTGTAACTCAGTTAATATAGAAACAAATCTGTAAAATTATTTAAAATTATATTGCTGTAACAAATGGATGAGTATAAACCAATCACAGCAGCTGAAAACCAACCAAACTCCAGGTAACAACTGCTCTGTATAAGGCAAATTCTATGCCTAAATGTCCAGCTATGACCAATCAAACTATTTTGGTGCATCATTTCCTTTTCTATCTGACACCTTGACTGGATGGAAATCTCTGAACTTCTCTTGGGGTCTAAGGAATGCCTAATAGATGAAAGGGTTTTTGCTAAATTTAACTTTCATTTTAAAAATAGTAATAGGGTTCAAACTTAAAACTATAGCTGCTACCAAGGTGAAGGCTCTCACTGAGACAACATTGATATATAAAGCATTCACACAATTACTTCAGGTTTCTGAAGCAATTCTCTCACTTGCTTACACATTGGCAGAAATTAAAAGGGGAGACTGTTAAAAGAAAAATGTGATTTGTAGGCTCCCAATCTCCATGTGACAAAGCAGAGTAAAAAAGGTGAGGATTGAAGCTGAAAGACATCAAACTAAAACACACACACACACACACACCACACCATACCACACTATCAATGAGTTTGCACATCTCAGTAAACACAAAGATATTAATTCAATGAATAATCTACCACTCAATTTTTGTGAATTAGTAAAAAGTGGGAATATGATAGGGATTAGCTTTATTGATATGGTAATATTTGAGATCTTCAATGTACTAGATCTCTGAAATTTTGTCCCTCACGTCCTACATATACCATGAAATTCCTATTGTAAGAACACCAATAAATGCATTGTAAATTTCATTTGGATTGAGTTTATTATCTGAACCTGTAAATTTTTGTTATTGTTTCTGAGTGAGATTTGAACACTCTGTTCTTGCTTTCACAGTCGATGTTCAGATATTACTTTTTCTAGAGACACGTTTTGACATTCTGTTCTTTCTTCTACTTAAAGTATCAACATTTTTCTTCTCATTCACAGGTGAAGTTTCAACATTTTGCTCCTCTTTCACTTTGAAATTTCAACATTTTGCTCCTCTTTCACAGGTGAAGTTTCAACCTTTTGCTCCACTTTCTCAGGTGAAGTTTCAACCTTTTGCTCCTCTTTCACAGGTGAAGTTTCAACCTTTTGCTCCACTTTCTCAGGTGAAGTTTCAACCTTTTGCTCCTCTTTCACAGGTGAAGTTTCAAAATCTTGCTCCTCTATCACAGATGCAGTTTCAGTAATTTCCTCTTTTTCCTTACTTGATTGGATATACAAAAACCAAATTACCAAACCGGTACACAAAGGCAAAGCAATCAGCCAAATGAATATAAAAATGTAAACTGGAAATTTCTTTTTCTTTGGTGATGGACCACTATCAATACTACCTCCATTGCCTTTATTCAGGCAGAAGGGTGGATCCCAACCATAATTGCAGTGACAGTGATGTTTATTGTTGCAAACACCTCTATCATTGCAAGTGTCAGGAGAACAATTTCCTTCCCATGGTGGAATAGAAACACACTTTCTGTGCAAGCACATAAGTCCTGGACCGCACTGTGTCCCATCTTTTACTTCACCAATATCAGGTATGGTCATACCAAAGTGGTAGTCAGTACCCCAGCAAGTGGTATTATTGATCTGAGTCCAATGCACAGTGTTATGTTCACTCAAAAGGGGAATTAGTATTACATTATCACACTGAACTCTCCCACATAGAACATCTTCAGGCTGACATCTTACATAGTTACCACCTTCCATACCACAGTGACCAAAACGGTCACCTTTGGTGTTCATTGCTAAGTAGCAACTCTGATTTGCGCTCGAAGCATCAGTGCCAAAAATTTTCTTACACTGTTCATTAAGGTCATTACATCTCTTCTCATAGCATAAGCCGTTGTCCAGGCAAGAGGTCCCATCTTCTATGTACACATCTTCTGGACATGCACCAGACGTTCCATTGCACCACTCTGGCAGATCACATTCGCTGTTCAATTCTCTACACACTGTGCCTACTGGCATGAACTGGCAGTCTTTGCAACAAAGCCCAGAAGCACAAACAGTCCCAGGTTTCAGAATACAGTTTTGCAAGCAACATAGATCTTTTTCACATAATTTTACAGAGCCACAATCACACTCCTCTTTATCTTCAACCACACTATTCCCACAGCGCTTCTTTGTGATGATGCGCTCTGGTTTTGGTGAATCACGCAAACAAGTTAATTTGTGAACATTTTCAAAAAAATGATTATAACTGCAGTTGCTGAATGCCTGTGCAGGCAATAACATTTCATTCATTATGCATTGATTTCCCCCACATGTACAAGTTGTATTTTCATCATTCTTCATTCCCAAAGTATGACCAAGCTCATGTGCCAAATGTGAAACAAACAAAACCAGTCTATCATCCATAACACACTCTAATCCACAATTACGATCATTACTGCATACTCCTAGATAAAATGAATCGGTAAGAACAGATGTACAATAGTCTTGTTTTATGATAATATGTGCAACATCATGATGTACACGAGAATTAAAGTTGGTCTCCTTCCATGTGCAAAAACTTACCATCATATCATGTGGGTTATTTTTGATAAAGGGGTTTTCCGTATTCCAGATCTCAATTGCAATGAGAGCTACATCAACATCAAGGGAGTTATAAAGATCATCTACTATGTTGACAGCCATGACTACATCCATCTCCACAACAGAGATGTTACTATCCCGAAAAACAAACCGTCCATGATCAACCACGATTGCCAGTTCAAGAAACCACCGGTGAACCCACCATCCCGTGTTAGAATTTTGCATCAAAATAGAATTATCATTCTCTTGAAACTTCAGTTGCTGTGCTATTTCTTCTTCTGTTAATACACATCTAATGGATGTTGATTGTGTCTCCTTGCTGTCTATCTTGTATAACAGATGTTCAAATGTGGCAGAAAGCCTTTTGGGCTTGATTTCATAAGCAACACCATTTATCTGTAGCATTCCTTGAAAGCCACCCAAACAAGTGCTAACAGTAACCAGGGATTCTGGGTCTCCTTCCACATAACCATGGTAGTAGCAGTCGTTCTGAACAAAAGGTTGGTCCTCAAGCAGAGCACCCTGGTCATTATAGGTGAACACAGAGAGGTCTCTGTACACAAAAAACTTCTTGGCCTTTAGGTGAATAATGTATCTCTTGCCCTCCAAATGAAGACTGTAAGTGATCCAGTTTGGTGCCTTCATGCCTCTCTCAGTGACCCTCAAGGGTATCACCACTTCTGGAGGGCTGTGGGATTCACCATACCCAGCCTGGTGGGGCCATCCAGACAAGAACAAAAATGGCCATAAGTAGAGTAGCAGGAGAGTGATCTTCACCTGCTCCAGGGACACATGCACAGCCATTGTGAGAAGGAGTGTGGGAGCAGAGGAGTCACTGCTGTCTGTATCCTCTCTCTGGGTTGTAGATAGCACTGACATTTAATGGTCTGTCTTCTGATAGATTCAATCAATAAGAACAGCAACTAAAAGGAAGAACAAAAAGAAGTACAGAGACAGAGGTCTCGGTGTGAGCAGGCCAAGGTGGAGGAGAAAAGATAGAATATTATTTAACATAGATTAGGATTTAGTTCAAGGCATGATGCAATATGGTGCACTGAATTCACCCTTTAGTATTGGTTAGGCAGAGTCAGACTCTGGTGTGCAAAAGAATGGCAATTGGCCATAGATTGGTAATTACTGAAGCTAAATTAAAGACATGGATTCGTTATACTTTGGCCAAAATATATGTTCAAAATATGTGAATATTTTCACAGTAAATATTTAAAAGAAGGACATCTTAATGAAGTCATAAACAAATACCTTGTTTTCGTGAGGGAATTTGGATTTACATACTTGGACTTGGAAAATCATCAATAACTCTTCTTTTATTTCAAATGTAAATTACTTTGTCTCATTAATCAGAAGAAATATATAAAAATGCTTACATGTATTATTTGCTCTCATGGTTTATTATGTCCTTTCATATAATAATCATTACTTTTACTATCATCTAATCTTATAAAATTGCAAAGTAGAAAAGCATAACTAGTAATTCAAAAATATTTGTACCTACTGTGATACAAATACCCTGTAAAGAATGCCATAGTTCAGTGAAAGTAACTTCAATATTGCAAATGAAAAGGATTACTTTTTTTCACAAAGAGATGGTATTATATTTGATTCTACTGTATAGAATAAAAATTTTCATACTCTGGACAGAAACTACCTTGGAAAGTAAAAGGTGGTAATGGAATAATATTGAGAGGAAAACTAAGCATCTTCAGAAATATAAAGGAATGTGATTAACCCCAGGAGTGGGATAGAAAGCTTTGCAAAATTAAAATTATTGTTCTAAGGCAAATTGCATAACCATCCTGGTAGTTTGAGAATTATAAACTAACTCACTTATGATATCATCTTTCAAAAACATTTACTTCATAAAAAAGTTGCATACACAAACGCACATTTGTATATGTGCCATATACAAATACCAAAAGTTTCAATAATACACATATGAAAATGAAAAATCTGCTACTAGGACAGATTTTGTTGACAATTATGACTCATTCCTGATCAAAGCAGTAATAAAACCACATAATAGCCAGACATACTGCTGTCTTATTAGGAAAACATAAGTGAGTTTACAGATCTAAACATCTTAATGATCTGGAACATACATTTAAGCAGAGAGGGTTTTATTTTTTATTTTATTTATTATTTTTGTGGACGTGGGGTTTGAACCCTGAGCCTTATGCTTGCTAAGCAAGCTCTCTACCACATGGGCCACTCTACCATCCTTTTTGGGGGTTGGGAGTTTTCATGGTAGGGTCTCATGAACTATTCTATTTCCCTGGGCTGGTCTTGAACCACAGCCCTCTTGATTTCCATCTCCTGAGTACCTAGGATTACAGACATGAGTTACTGGAACCCTTTTTTTTTTTTTCATTTTGTTTTTGATTCTTTTTCTTTTGACAATACTGGGGGCATTTGAACTCAGCCTGAAGCTTTCTAGGCAGACCCCTTTTTGCTTTCATAATTTTTGAAATAGGATCTTACAATTTTATGCCTGACATGCCTGGACTGTGATGCTCCTATTTAGATGTCCCACATAGTGCAATGACATGCCTTGCTGCTGTGCTGAAATTTCACTTTTCCTGTGCTGGCCTCGCATGGGAATACTCTGATTTCTGCTTCCTGAGTAGCTGGAATTACAGGCAGTAATCAGAGTGTTTGAAGCCAAGATAGACTATGTATTCGTAACATGCATTCAACATTTTATCTAAAATGTTTCCTTTAGTTATTGCAAGCACACACAGGCTTCATCAAATAAATGAACTAATGAAGTTATTAACTCAATGAGATGAAAAATTCCTAGTTGAGTTTAAAACAAAAGAGTAGTGTAATCTCTCATGAGGTATCTAAAACAAAGCAATGAAAAACCATATCACTCTGTACATAAAATAAGTTGCCACATTCAGAACTTGTCTTCTAGACCTAGAACCTATTCCAGCTTATTTTTTCTTTGATATTGAGTCTGTGTTTTATGGCTTGTTCTATGTAAAAAAAACATTTTTCTGTCTCTTATGGCATCTTCCTTTGATTAAAAGCAACTACATTCTCTTCTCTAATCGCATTTCTGTATGGAGAGCTCCTTATTCCTATTTAATGTTATAAAACTTTTCACCGCATTGATGGGAAGCACAGCAGAGGAGAAACATTCCATTCTCAGAACCCCCAGGTGCAATATGCATAACCAGATGTTCATTAATAATTTTCTTAAATTACCAAAGCCACTTCAAAAATCACTAAACTCGGTGTCATCTTGTAATAGTACTACTTACATTTCTTCCTTATTCTTATGCCGAGATCCCAATTAATCTGCAGAAAACACAAAAAAATTGGATAGACAATTTACTTCTTTCTTATCTGCCAATGGTCTTATCCATATCCTTACTGTGCTTATTCAGCCAGGGATCAACCCATACAGCACCTAGAATTGTGGTGTTTTCACCTTTACAATTATCTTCAACCATATTTTTCCATCAATTTATGACTCTGACATGTTATACTGGTACCTTTGCAAGAGCATAATAACTCATATATTAAGAAATTTACCACAACTTCCATTTCTAATTGAAATTCAAAGTTATGAAGGTCTTAATTTTTCTTCCCATGTTTTCCCTATTTCATGTTCCTATCATTGCCCCTGGCTAAGGCTCTGTCAGTTCAACCACTATTGGCCAAAATCTATAGCCAATCTAAATTAAAAATTCTTTTGTCTGCTTTATCCCTCTTCCAACACATTTCCAATATATCTAGGAAAATATATCACAAGCTAATTAGGGGTGATCTTTAGTGGGGGAAACACACAAAGTTAGAATAATGTACCTTATCATTCACTCTGAAGGATAAAATCATGGAAGGATACATAATTTAAACACTCTAATATTTTTTAAATATGTAGTTTATTATTCACATTGTTTATTATTTTTTTGATTGTCTTAACTTCCCAACAATAAACACGAACCCATCTTGAAAACTAACAAAGACTTTGTTTATGTTATTATTCTTAACACATTTCAATAGTGGTAGTTTCAATTGTAAAGTCTAGATTTCTTTATTTGATGCTTGCTTACTAAAGAAAAGGTATTTTTGTTAGCGTTTCTTTGTCTTTAGAGACAAGTGGCAGGAATCTCACTTCAGACTGAACTTCACCGTCAATGCTGAAAGGAGAAGAGTGCTTTGGTTACTTGGGAAAACTATTCAAGTAAAGGGAAGGCAGGTTTATTTCACAAAATGCTAAGAGTCTACCAAGGAACAAGAGTACCAGAAGAAAGCATTCAAGAAAACACCTCAAACTTGTGAGTAAAATGCTGGTATGATAACCTATTTTCCAGGTCTCTCCTGATAAAACAGTTTGTAAGTAAGGGGTGTGAAATTTGATTGTGATGGAAGTGGATTACTCTGCGTACTACTAATAAATTTACATCTTATAAATCTGTCAGAAACATGTAATGAGAAAGCTAACTTGAAAAAATTCTTTAGCCAAACTGTCCTTGCACTCATTATATTATGTCACACAAGGAGAACAGTGAAAAAACTAATGAAAGAACACAAACTTCAATATGATCTGTAGGCCACCAAGATAGTACAGAATTCTAAGTAGATGGTCACACATCATCTTTGATAAATGCTGTTTTCTCTTCCCCATCATTTCACCAATATCACTAATCTATGTATTGTAATTATCATCTCTCTGCTCACTCTTATTTATAGCCCAATTCAGTATTTTTTAAATTATAAGTTACAAAGGAATTTTTTTTAAGTATTATAGAAAATTATAAAGGAGATGTGTCCTGCTAATGTTCTGAATACTTGGTAAAGAATATATACATATATTGTGTGTGTGTGCATGTGTGTTTGGGTGTATTTAGGTATGTTTAAATATGGCTGCTTCTTTCCTGTAGAAATAAACTTGAATCGCTTACCAAGAGAGTATTGTTAGATCACACAGTCTTTCTAGTTACAACCCTATTCATGGATCGTTTGTGACACCTCTGTATGTAGACAAACAGTTTTATTTGAGACATGTGACAGAGAGAAACCTAAATTCCCTCCTTCCATGGTCTCTAGTTTAAGTTCTAGACATATCTGCCTTATAAAAAAATGTCTCTCAGTTCTATAGAATAAGTAGCTATGCTTCTTTCTAACTTTGGCTCTTTTTAAAGAGTTTGTAGGTATATTTTCTTAGTTGATGTTCACATGCCACAAAAAAGTGTTGTTTTTTTAAAAAGAGATTTGGCATAATATGTATATAAATCAAAAACACAGGTAAATATACATTAATGAGATTGAAGTTATTACTAAATGAAATATGTATAGGTGCTAAAAAAGCTAGAGTGTGGATGCAGAAAACTTCATGGAGTGGGAAGGTCTGAGCTTAACTTTGAGAGAACTTCCTTTGCTGAATGAGTCCTCATGAAGTATCCACAAACTGCAGACAGAAGAACCTTGTGGATAAGAAGAATGACTAACCTACAAAGGAGGTGATGAGGAGAATGCTACAGCTCCTTACAGACTGTTACCCATAGAGTGTGAGGCAAGAGTTCAATGGGTGTTAAGACCTGAATATTTATTTCTTCTTGAGCTAAATAGGGAAGAACTTAAAATTTCTAAGTAGGAAATTTCATACTTAAAATGCCATTAAACAAGCTTTGTTTGGCAGAAACACTTATTTTCTGTTGCAGAATATTGAAAATGAGAAAAGTGACCAATAATAATAATAATAATAATCAATATAGGAGATAAAAACTTGTTTATTTCTTTGCTTGGTATTAAAGGAAATTGTGAACAGAAAGGCAGAA